ATTTACCCGCCTCCGTATTAGGCACAGCTTCCTTCCCCATAATTCTTTCAAGCTTTCTCTTAATTCTTTTCCGCTCTGCACTAGTCCTCATGGGGATTCAATATGTGATTTTAATCACATTATATTTAACTGTCCTTCCTTTCTTTCTAGCTGACAACTTCTTTTCTCATTCTTATCTTCTCTTGGTTATATAACTCTCGACTCTAATCTTCTCCTTAGCTCCCGCTTCATTCCTATTATTCATTCCATTATTAATTTCATCAATTCCTCTGGCTTCCTTATTTAATTTATACTCAATTATTTTTAGCTAATTGTTAACTATCAATATTTATGCTTAACTAATCTAATAAGATTGCTGTAATGTTTATTAACAAAGGCAATATAAATAAATAAAATTAAAAAAAATAATATGCATATTAATTTCAAATTGAAGCAGAACGATTTTCAAAAGCAAGATATCATTAAAAATGCAAGCGTATAGCATGCCCTTTGGTTTCCTCTTTTCAAATTCATTTAAAACAGCAATATCTAAAAGGTCGAGAACTTTATTCGAATGTATTTTATGCATTATATCATATCGTACAGTCCTATGAAAAACAAATAAGAAAATGTTCCAAACCACGTTTAATAACCTTTTATGTCTTGGTTTTTTCTATAACAATAGATAATTAAAATATATTACAATTTAATTTATAACTAATTATTACATAAATAATTGTATTTCACTGTTATTATTATGTTAATATCATTGGTGATTACAAAACATAAGAAAAAATTTACATTTAAAAAATAAATAATAAAATCTATTTGTATTTTGTTTTAGTGGACATGACTCCAGGTACATCTACATCTACTCAAGCTTTTTTATCAACTTCAACTCAAGCTTTTAATGAAATGATTCAACCGAGATCTATGCAAATGCATTTTCATAGTATCTATGGACTTCCATGGTAGGTTTTACAAATTAAAATTTTAATTATTAAAATCACAATAATTTTTAAAAAAATAAAAATGAATAATAAAAAGTTAATTAAATTAAAATTATTATTATAAAGGCCCCAGTTCGTGCCACTAAACGCAGCATTTGGACCTCCAATTCAATATCCAAGTATGATTATAAAATATTTAATATCTCAAATTACTACTTATACATATATGTATACTAAATATGCTTACTTTAATATTACAACTCGTGTCGTCAGTAGTACCACATACTATCCTTGGGCTATTGTATTTAGCAACTTTTTTCGAAATAGCTTAATATGTCATTTATTATCGATTCATTCTTCTTAAAATGTAAATTGATTGTTAAAAATAATTGTTATCAACTTCAAAAATAGTACAACTGTTGAATAACTTCATTAGATTTATTTTTGAACAAAATAAATCAATAACATTTACTATATAATATAAATTAATAAGATAATTTGTATTTCTTTTAATATGGAATTTTTTTGTGTGAATTATTTCTTATTCAAGCTGGTCAAATGAATGGTCTTATAATGAAACAACCATTTCCTATGAATACAAATAGGTACGTCTTATAAATAATTATTATTTATATCTTGATTGATTTTTTATTGTTTGATTTCAGCGCCATGCAAATAGGACAAGCACTAAGCGCATCATCAGATGCAATATACAATTCAGGAATGGGTAAGACTAATTATTTCTCAACTGATTATTTAAATTCTTATATAAACCATAATTACTTATACTTACTGATATATAACAAAAATTCTTAAAATAAATAAAAAATATTTTCTACATAAAATCAATTTTCAAAATAACTTATATTTTCTGTTATATGGAACTTCTTTGTGTAAATCATATCATATTCAAGCTGGTAAAATGAATGGTCTCGGACTGGAACAACAATTTCGTATAAATAAGTACGTTTAATAAATAATAATTATTATTTATATTAGGATTAATTTTTTATTATTCTATTTCAGTGCCACGCAAACAGAACAAGAATTAACCGAATCATCAGATAAATATGCCATAGATGATATGGGTAAAAATAATAATTTCTCAAATAGTTATTTAAATGCATATAAGAACCATGATTATTTCTCAGTAAACATATACACGGATATAAAACGTATATTAAACGTATGTTTTAAACTAAAATTACGTACATTATACGTGCATATTTAGTTGAAGAACAGTTTAATTATAGGATATATTTAGGTAAAAAGACAGATATTTCACGAATATTCTACGTTTAATAAATATAAATACTTCCTCCATTTATTTTTAGTATATATAGGTAACTGGTTTAGATACAAATATTTACCATGTGTATTTTTTGTTTTAAACTGGTGTAGATATACAATGGATATTAACTATATCAAATCATGTAGGCTGTACCCGTTTCATCCAAATTTTGTTGTTATAAAATCATCCGTTTCGCCCAGACTAGTTTAAATAAATTTAAAATTAAGTTGGCAAAGGTGGTGTAGTCAATTATTATATTTTAGCGAATAATAAAAAGAATGATGCTTATTTGGTAGGTAAGCGCTTTACAGACAACAAGTTCTGATCCCGAAAATAAAACCTATAGTAATTATAGTCAAAATAAAAATAATTTATAAATAATAATATATAAAATCAATAGCAAATAAGTGATAACGCATAAGAAATTCGGGTCTATCTATACACAGTCAATTAGACCAACACCGTCGTTATCATTTTGTGTTATCAAAAGTAAAATTGTTATCATAAATATAATTTTATCATCAGTTATAAACTTATAATAAATGAATTACTTTATTTTATTTGTTACATTATAATATTAAGATATAACATCTTCACTCTTTACATGAAATATATGTTGCAATTCTAATTTTTTATTTTGTTTTTAGAAAATATATTTTGAGCAGTAGAAAGTTTATTATAAATATGTTTGACCAGTGTCGCAACTACAATTTTTTGGGCCCCAGAGCGACTGAGATATATTGCCCCATTTTTTAGTATGTCAGACACTTATTAATAGTTTCATTTTCCGACCCTTTTTTCATCTAGTAATTCAAATATACATCAATATGTACATTAAAGCATATTTTAAAATTCACAAATTCACAAAGCACATTAATAAATAAGAATTCAAAATTTTAGAATGATAACCCAATTAAATCACAAACACATAAAGATCAACCAAAGTTGTTATGCAATGTACATCCTCCAAACCAATCAATAAAATAAACAAAATAACAACAAAACTTAATAAGTTAATTTTTTATCATTTTTAAAATTTTAAATTTTAAACAATCACTTAATTAGTTGAAACAAACAAATAAGAAACAATGTATAGTAAAACTAGTAAAAATGTATACTAAATTAATTGTAATTTTTTGTTTAGGCACCTATATTACATTTTTTAATTCTTTATAGTACTACTGTTACTCAACTATTACTTTTAACTGCAGGTCGCATCAATGTTCCTATATCTACCTATTCTTATATTAAAAGATAAAGCACTTCTAAATTATAAATAAATATATACAGGGAAAACAATAAATATTGAGAACAACTTGACTGCCTACATTATTTAACAATACAGTTTTGAATTTATATCTTAATATTACATTGTAACAAATAAAATAATGTAATTAGTTTATTATTAACTTATAATTGATGATAAAATTATATTTATGGTAACAATTTTACTTTTGATAACAACAAAATGATAACGACGGTGTTGGTCTAATCGACTGCATATAGTCAAACCCAAGAAATCCGGTCGTTATCGAGTATAGACTTAGCTAAACTTGTAAAACGCATACCGAAATATTTTTTATAAATATTGTGTTTGATGGTCCTGTAGCTGTTTGCCCGAAAAAAAAATTTTGTAAATTTGATGTTTTTATAAATATTGCGGAGTATTTGAGTAAATTTGATTTTTTAATAATGCGTTTTAATAATTATTTTGGACTAAATTTATTAAATTTGTTAAATTTACCATTTTTGTGAACTGAAAACTATATTTTCTTTTTGAGAACAAAGAGTGTTGCCTCTTCGTGATTTTCTCTAAATAACACTCAATAATAACTAATAATAATAATATTATTTAATTTAAAACAATCATTGCCAACTTTATTTCAAATGTATTTAAACTAGTCTGGGCGAAACGGTTTAAACCCAATCATGTAACTAATATTATATTAATGTTATATATTAATATAGGAATGTATGTGTGTAAATATATGTATATAGTATCTATACAATATAGCAGGTGTGGCCAACAGGTCGATCGCGACTATCTTTCATTTTTTCAGAAAACAAATAAAATTTTTATTGTTTTTTTTTTTTTTTTGTATATTTTTATATCATCATTCAAACTATATACATAAATAAATTAAATTAATAACAATTCATAAAGTTAATATATAGTAATAAATAACTATGAAAAATGAAATTATACACTGAGATCGAATAGCTATGTAAGCATGGGAACGAGGTTTCCCAATTTTTCACGGCGTGGTTTACTGATTTTATTTTTGTACATTTTTACAACTTATGTAAATAAATTAAAACTTATAAATGAATAAGTAACAATACTATTTTTGTTTATAATAATGAATTACAAATGTTTAAATAATAAGTTTTGAAATTTGTATTCTTAAATTGCTTAAAAAATCTCAAAAATATTATATTTTACTTTTAAAACCAAAATACATATCTTATTTAAAAATAATTATTTCTACGTGTATAATAATAACGTATTAAATATTTATGTTTTATTTATTTCATGAGATCCTCTAGCACTACAGCACGCCAGTAGTCGAAAAAATACTCAAAAACCGATCACAAGTCTATAAAAGTTGGCCACCCCTGTAAAATTACATGTCTGATACACATAGAGGAATTAAAACAGAAGAGATACTTTTAAATAAAAAAATGTGTTATTATTAATGCTAACTATCTCACTATATTATATTATAATCAGCAAATTATTCCTCAAATCATATTTATATATTAAAAAAAAAAAAATATTATCATTTTCTCCTTGGTGCTTGTTTTAACCAGTCACTTATTTGGTTTCTTGTGAGTGGTACAGGTTCGTTAGGAAATAAGTGTTTAACACTATCTATAACAAAATTATATAGACATGAAAATGTATACTACATAAAGTATATTTTTCTATACATAGTTTGTGTAACTACACAAATATAGCGTATACTATAGCTGTAAATATACTATATAAATAATCATAAAATTATTCTTTATTTAATACCACTAACATGCAAGAAATATCTGAACAATATTTTTATATTAACAATATAAGAATAATATAATAAAAATAACAATACAATAATATAATAATTAACAATATAATACCTATATATATTTATGTAACAATATTTTTTCTTATTATCTAATAAATAATAATTATTATATTGAAACGAACTTGAATACGTTTCATAGTTTCGATATTGATCAATCATTACTAATTATTATAATATTGTTTTAATAAAATTAATTAGTAATTAACCCAGTGCTTGACTTAAGGGGGGACGCAAAGTACTCCAACTAATTTTAGCGTCTCCCTACTATTATTACGTTATAATTATAACGCTTAACAAGTCTTGGGGACACTATTTTTTTTAAAGTTCAACTACTCTATTGTTCATTAACATATTAATTTTTTGATTAGTAGTCCGCTTGGAATCAAATGATTTGCCATTTTTGTGAAGTATTTGAGCCTGTTATAATTAAATTTTTCAATAAAATAATAATGTTTTATTTTTCTTAAACTTACTAGAATTTTTTTTTTTTTTTTTGTTCATCATTTGATTCTTCAACATTTTTTAATGATATTTTTAAAGTCTATCAAAATCAAAATATAATAAAAATTAATAATTTGATTAAAATATAATAATTAATATAATAATATATAATTTTATCAATCAAAATAGCTTTTATTCTCGTTATTAAATTCCTTGCTATTTAACATTCTAATTAAATAAGCAATATATAGTTTTTAGCAACGTCAAATTTCAATGTTTCAATATCCTTTCTTTAATACATTTATCTGTTCTCCAACTGATAAAATAGCTTATTAAAATAAAATGTAGGTATTTAAATTAAATACTATATAAACTTTGATCTAAATCACTTTTTAAGACATGAACAATATTCATTAAAATTTAAGAACTAATGTCTCATACAGTGTCATCTGCAAATAGTAATTAGGTATTCAAGTTGTTAAAAGTAGTTGTTGAATAAATTAAAAAATTAAATTTAATAACGATTCATTGATGAGTGAAGATAACTTGGATTATTACCACGAATAGTTAATGACTAACTGTTTTTTACTGTTTTTTCATCTTTGTTAAAACACTGATTTGAGTCGATGAACTTAATAAATACTCTAACTCATTATCAGATTTATCACATTAGAATAAATTTAATTAATCTAAAAACATAAAAGTAAATAATTAATTTTCAAATTATATTAATTTATGGTAAATTATTACAAAGTTATAGGTAAGTAGGTATTCATTTTTACAATACCTGTTGGTTCCGAAATTTTATCTATAACATTTTGAAATTTGGTGTTAAATAATGAATCACTTTCATCACTATAATTTGAATCAATACTTTAGAATACCTTTGTTTTGTGATTTATTTTTTACCTGAATATGTTTATGTTAAATAAACTAATTTAAGTATTTAACTATGGGCAATATTTGTAATAATAAAAATCATAAGATTACATATATGGGTATTACATTTTTGAAAGTAATTATTGAGACTTTCATTACTGCTAGATTAATTAAAATGTGTAATCTACGTTTTCTACATTTTTCTGTTTCTTTTATTTCAGTTGAGCGGGTGTAACAGAAATTTAATATTTTTTTCTTTGTTAATGCATGTGTTTCTGTCAATAGTAAAGTAAAATAGTTATTAACTACTTATTAACATTAATATATAAATTAAATTAACATTATATTATATTAGTAAGATCAAATTAAATTTAACAAATTTTTTTAACAGTTACATTTGGTCTTACGTCGACCCATTTGAATGTTTTCATTCACACTATAACTCAAATTTTTCTGACCAAATTTTTTATCCACTTTTTTAGTTCCGTGTTCAGTTGGCCAATACCATTCATAAATATTTCTAACTAAAGGATTTCCTGACTCCTTATTAATTATCCATGATTTTGGAATGACTGTTTGAATATTTTCATTGTTAACCGAGGAAACAATGACAAAGTAGGAAATGGCTTTCTTCATAATTAAGCGAATGTAAGTTCCTACACGAGACTTAGCAGGTAAAAAAATACATATGTTAGTTCCTCGCGATAAAAAAAAAGGTGCATATATTAGTTCCTACATGAGAAAAAGCAACTACGTAAGTTAATTCCTACACGAGATAAATAAAATGTTAGTTCCTTCTTCTTCCTCTGGCACTTAGTAATCTCTAAGAGTTTTGGCCGCCATCACAATATCTCTCCATTTTTCACGGTCCTGTACTACTTCCCTCCACTCTTGTACTCCCAATCTTTCAAGGTCTTCTTCCACAACATCCAACCACCTTTTCCTGGGTCTTCCTCGCGGTCTCTTTCCCATTGGTTTCCAGTTTAGGATTGTTCTACTTATATCATCCTCACTTCTCTGCATCGCGTGTCCTAACCATTGGATCCTTTGCATTCTTATAAAGCTGATAACTGATGCGATTCCCAATTCGTCTTGTAGTTCTTTGTTGTATTTTCTTCTCCAGGTTCAATTGACGCTATCATAAATTGGTCCACAAATTGTCCTTCAAATTCTGTTTTCAAAGGTCCTAAGTCTTCTTTCGGTTGTGCTGGTAGTAGTCCATGCTTCACAGCCATAGGTGAGCGTCGGTCTTATTATTGCTGTATATAGTCTGGTTTTAGTCTTTTTTGAAAATAATTTTGATTTTAAAATGTTAGTTCCTGCAGAAGAAAAAAACAGGTTAGTCTATGTTAGTTCCCATACGACGAAAAAAATTATATATATACATAAGTTTCTACACGATAAAAAAAAAGGTGTTTATACTTATATTATATTATAGGTTAAGCGACAAAATAATAAAAATCGAATAATATATTGATTTTATAAATAAATATATTATGAGTCACGACTGTAAAATATAATAAAAATCGCATTATTTTAAATTGTATGATGTTTATTGATTTTGTTTGTTGTTAATCTAAAATTTGGTAATTTGTAAAATCGTCTACTTCAGCTTATTTTTTACTGATATATTTTTTTTTTTTTTTGTTACTGTTTGTAGTTCTTATTTTGACATACTTATTTGCTTGAAAAAGTTTGAGAATTTCAATAATTCTTGCATTGTGAATATTTCTTGATATGTGTTTTAAATCGGGTGAGTCCCTCGTTAGCATATTTAGATAATTATTTTCGTATTATTTTTTACAGGTTTTCAATCATAGAGTCTACAGCTTTTCTTTTGCAAGAATTACCAATTTGTTGCCGTTTTAATGTGTCATCACTTGTATGGCTGTAGTTAAAACACGCTTTATCTGTATTTATCAACTAGGCATTTTGACCCCCATTATAAACTTTTGCACTACACTTATTTATAACACAACGCCACATTTTTTTATTTTCATTTTTTTTAGATGTATGATGTTTGAAAAATTTTAAATCATTTAAAACTAACAGTTGTTTGCCTTTTTCATCCAATCTGAATAATATTTATATAACATTTTCGCTCATGGTAAATTTGTAAATTAGGATTAGTATACCAGATGTATGTAATATGTATGATATCATAGATGGATATATAGATGAATATGTACGGACACACGGATGTTTCGAACAATACTTTTAAGAAAAATTAGTAGATGTACATTATTTTGTGTGTCGAAAAATTGAATTTACATGTTAGCTTTATCGATAGTCTATCGTCATACAATATTAAGTGTAGGCATCACCCATGACGGTTTAAACAAGAGTGATTATACTCGTGTTAATACGCCTAATCCATACAATAATATTTTATTGCAATAACCATAAAGTAATTTTTTCGCAGTATAGAAACTAACATATGTACCTGTTTTTCCTCAGGTAGGAACTTACATATGCACCTTTTTTTACCCTTTAGGAACTTACACATATCATTTTATATTCGTATAGGAATGAACACATCACATTTGTAGGAACTAACTTATGTAATCGACTACCTACTACTCTCATGTAGGAACTTACTATTCTCCATATATTAATATGAATAATGGATATTTTAAATAAGTATTTTAATAATTGCTTTTATGACAATGTTATATTCTAAAAATCTTTACATATTTATAAATTCCCAATAAATTATATCTAATATTAAATATAGTATAAAATACTATAGGTACTATAATTATTATACACAGTGATATGCACAGTGACCATGGAGACAAAATCTCAAGCCTGGCCTAAATAGTTAAATAATATATACTAGAATAGCACATAAAATATTATAGGCAGAATACATTTTTAGGGCTGACGCAATCACATAAGATAAATCGCACCCGTTATCATGCTACTGGATTATAATATTATACCTATTACCTTTATTTAAACAATTAATATAAGTAGGCATAAATAATATAGCAATAACATTCAAGATTTTTTTGAAGTGTTTGAAACAAATTGCTGTTTCTTGTCTGATGAATATGATTTATTTTTTATATTTGTTTGAGTTAATATGCTGAACCACTAAAAATTGTTGACTATTATTTACAGAAATTGTATACAATGTAAGATATAAAATAGTTGACAGTTTCGAATTTTTCAGTATTTTAAAATAAATATCTGATATATATATATTAGGGTGGTCCTTATTTTTCAACTTATGAAATTTTTACCTAGGACCCCCCCCCCATTTTGTTTGGTACCATAAGACAATGCTTAGGGTTAAATTTGGTTTTCTTATCTAAACTCTTTCCCATGCCTCAAGATGGTTGAAAAATGACTAAAGAGGGTAGTTTGATAGTTTTTCGAATTTAATTTAAATACCGAATCACTTATCATAATAATGTTAAGAACCTTTATTATAGAACACACTATTATCTATAAAAAGTATAATTATATTTATTGTCATATATCCATTATATTTTAAGAAAAAAAGTATTAATTATAAAAAAATATAAAAAAGTAGGTATACCTATAAAAGTTGTGAATAATTCGGTTTAAATCTCTAAAAAGATATTGTTAGTTATCACACTTAATTTATATAACAATATTCATTAAATTTTAATTTTATTAATAACAAATTTAATCTAAAAACACAACAATTGACAGATTGCCTAATAATAAAAATTTTTTTTTTAAATTTCATGACTAAACCTTGGATATGTTTTACGATATTCTTGAACAACCTGGAAAAAATTAAACATTATTAAATTTTCTTAAACTTAATTATTTTTTAATATTTAATTTACTTGTAATGTAAATTACTTCTGGTCTTCATTTTTCGTGAATTTATCATTATATTCCTGCATTAATTTGACGCCTCTTTCAGCTGCATCGTTCACTATTTTTAAATATGATATTATTTCTTTAGCTTCCTTAAACTCTTCCATATTCTCCCATGTACTTGGATCTTCTTGTAAAAAATTATCAGGAATTGAAAAATGTTGAAATATTTTCCACGATTTATTAGTAAGTAAATCAAATGGAAGATCTTTATTGAGAAACTGTGGCACATCTCAAATTTCAATATTAGTTTTTTCTTTGGATCTTCGTCTTCTACTTCACCATGAAGAACTTTGCCTTGTAAAATTTTTACGATCATTTTCAGTTTCATTTTAATATCAACACGATCATCGAATAAGGAAAATACAACAACACATTCATCAGTCGAATACCATAAATGGTTGATACTTTTTTTCAAGACTACTTCTCCTAATTTGTTATTGTAGCTCATTAATTTTTTTAAAAATATTATATCATTTATTGGAGCATATATTGTATCAGAAGCTGAAATCCATGTTTGAGTATAACATTTACTATAAAACAACATATTTCTTCTAGTGTATTTTGTTCGTTTATAGTTATACTGAATTGATTACTGTATAATATTTTAATGCAATAAATAGCTTTAGCCATCCATCTGGCTATATGATAGGCTCCTGGCTGATGAAATCGAATACCATAAGGTGGTGAACCTCCTAAAAATATAATGACCCGTTCTAAAAATTCTTCATAATCGCCTCTTGGAAAATGTTCGTTTAATTTGTCTATACAAAATACGATAATTTCATTTGTAATATCTTTTAAATTATTGTTTGAGATAGAAAATGATGAATATATTTTTAACTTTTTTAAATTTAGGTTTTTTTAATTATTCTTAAATTTTTTAAATAAAGGAATATCAGGACCATTCATGACAGTTAGTTTCGTGTATGAAAAAACTGCGTGTAAGACAAGTTTAAATATATGATGGCGACATGCAAAAAACAATATATCACGATTTAATAACTCTTCTAAAAGTATACAAGCTCCATTTAATCTACCACTATTTGATGCTGTCATATCAAATACAAATGCCTGAATTTTGTCCACTAACCCCCATTCTTGTAAAAGATTATGTACGGAAAAAGAAATTTCTTTTCTGGTGCCCGATGATAAAGCAGGAACTTCTAGAAGTCTTTCTATGTTAAGAGCCGTTACTATTACAGGAAGACGATTTATATTTTCTTTGCTCATTAAATCAGGTAATAGTTTAGAATCCCAATGTAAAACAACATAATCTAAATGTGTGTTAGTAAAATTAGATTTTATACTCTCGGATATTTGTTTGCGAAAATGTTCACGAGATCTTTTTATAGCTGGTCTATTTATTATGAATTTGGAATAATCTATTTGAAAGCTTTCTGCTACTGCTGTTAATAAATTAGCAGCATCCCTATCACTTAATTTACACTTATTTAAAGCAGATGATAATCGAAATGTCATACAATTTATTTTTGCTCTTTTTGAATTTGAAGGCCCTGGTATTTTATGACCTATATCTTCATAATATACTTCCTCATCTTCAGAACTAGAACTAGAATTAGATAACATAGAATTACTTGTTGATTTTGATATTTCTATTTTCTGTATTTTTTTCCGCCTATCTTCTCCTTCTTGTAGAATAGCTTTTCGTTTCTCAATACCCGTTAATTTTATATCTGCACCGAGCATACAACCTGGACGCCGTTTTTTTTTCATTGTTTTAACAAAATTTCTTGATTTTCTTTAATTTTTAATAAATCTAGAGCGTTGGCATGAGAAATATCAAATAAATTATCTAAATTATCTTGAAATTCAATAAATTAGTTTATTCTGTATATCTGTTTCCCTTGTTCGATTTTTCTCCACTTTTCTCCAATCATCATATAATTTTTTCAACTTTTTTACGCAATAAGAAAAATCATGAGTGGAAATTCGAGCTTTTTTCCAAAAAATTGAATATTCTTCAATTACCAAACGTGAACTATCGTGTAAATTTAATTTTACAAATCGCATATTGTAAAATAAAACAGATAAACAATTTCTTTTTGATGGTAACTTGGAACCAGTTATTTGATTTTTCATGGTTCCAACCAAATAAATTTGTTGTCTAGACATTTTAAACAACTTCACTTAAAAATTCAATAAACGCACTTATTTGTATCAATGAAAAACAAGATCTAAATTAACTTTAGCATTTCGAATATTCTTAAACTATTTAGTAACAATGTTCTAATTATAATTGGTTATCTGTATTATTGTACTTACAATTTTATCGTCGTCTGAGCTTATCTTAATGCTTATAATATTTAATTTAAGGTAAAATATATGTGACATATATTCTAATCATAATTATTAGTAACAATATATATATATATTTCAATCATTTAGGATTTATAAAATAAGAAAAAGAACAAACTATAGTATAAATACACATAAGTAATACTCTCCACCATGTTTTGTATTTTCGATTTATAATTATATAATTTTTTCAAATAAATAAATTTTTATATAAAATAATGAATTTATGACAAAATATATAATTATACTTTTTATAGATATTAATGTGTTTTATAATAAAGGTTCTTAACATTTTAATAGTATAAGTTATTGAATTAAAATCGAAAAAATATAAAACTACCCCCTATGGTAATTTTTCAACCCTCTTGCGGCACGTGAAGAGGTTGAGGTATGATATCCAAATTTCTCAGAAATTATTGTATTATAGTACCAAATAAAATGGATCATATATAAATATATATAAAATGGAAAATACAAGTATTTTTTTTCTTCTTCTATAATTAAGGACCACCCTAATATATATATATATATATATATAATTTAAAAAATCCAATTTCGAAAAATATATACAATATTCTGATATTTTTTAATTTTTCTTAAAAAACAATGGACTTAGAAGAATTTGCATTGAATGACTTTTTATAGACATAAATAAAATCTATCATTAAGTGCTTTGCATGTTCACGCTAAATCCTATACATTCTGAATTAATTTAAAAAAACCAGAAAACTGCCCTCTTTTGCCATATTTCAATCCTAATGCGGCATCAGAAGGGGTCGAGTGAGATCTTCCAAATTTTACTTACAATATGTACATATGACTTATTATAAGTGGAATATTTTACATCAAAAAGTTAACACAGTACCCCCATTATTTGTTATGTATATTTATGACTTAACAAATAAGGGGGGTACTGTGTTAACTTTTTGAAATAAAATATTCCGCCTGCATAAATAAGGACCACCCTAATATATATATATATATATATATTTACACAATAAACTCATTTTAAAACAAAACGACCGAACAAGGAATGATAGAACACCAACTGAAATATAGATATTTACACTAATACTCTATTTGTGGTATTTATTAATCCAAGTATACAGTAGACGATATCAATAATTATCTCTGCAGGTTTATCCCATTTTGTAAAATATCATATAATATCATACATTGTTATACATTATCGGTTAGAAATATTTGTCATAATATATTATGAAAAACTTTAAGTATGCACTAAAATTATAGTGAATATAACAATATGATTAAACAAGTAAAAATCGAACAAATATGGTAAAATATGCGAAATTAAATTGATTATTTGATATTTTTTCGGACAAGTAAAAGTATCTAGGGGTGAATATTAATGAGAAAAATAATATGCATGATAAGATAAATCTCAGACTGATGATGGCTAACAAAAGTTATTATGCAATGAAAGGGATGTTCATGTTGAAGTTACTGTCACGATGAACAAAGGTAAGGTTATACATAACCTATTTGCGTCCCATAGCGACGTACGTATGTGAGACATGGGCCAGCACAAAGGGTGATGAGGGTAGTCTTTGAAAGAAAAATACTAAGGAGAATCTATGGTCCCGTGTTTAATGTAGACTTAGGAGTTTTCGAAAGAAGAAAAAATGAAGATTTACAAAGACTTTATAATAAACTGAACATTTGCAAATTTCTTAGTAGCAAAAGACTAGAATGAGTTGGGCACGTGTGGCGTGTGGCGTGCAGAAAGATGTCTTATAAGAAAAGTACTCGATGGAAATCTGAGCGGAAAAAACCCATAGAGAGACCACGTCAAAGATGGTTTGATATGGTGAAGAGAAACTTAACACGAGTGGACCCTACTTATAGCATCAACTTGGCAGTAGATAGAATGCAATGAAAAGGAATTGTAGAAGCGGCATTAGACCTAAATGGTCTGTTTCAAGCCTAAGAAGAAGAAGATGAATTTGAATTCTTTAAGTAATGAAACATATTTATATCCTACTCCGCTTTAATTTGGATTTCATAGAAAAATATGATAAACGCATTACTATCCACTCTCTCTATTCATGATATATATCTGTTTCACCCCTCATCCCCTGGAAGAAAGTTCTAGCGCTATGACTGACTATAACACTATAAAATAAAAATTAAATACTCACATTTATGACAATATTTCTAGTTTATTTAGTACAGTAGTTTTAGGCAATAGCACATAGTACACGTTGAACAGACAACACTCCATAGACACAAAGTAAATATTAAATAACAAAATAGTAGGTACATACAGAGCCGGCGCTAGAAGTATTGGCGCCTTGGGCGAAATCATGTTTTAGTGCCCTTAACCCCCCCCCCCTTACCACTACAACCCACTTAGTTATATTAATAGTAAAATTAAGTTCTTTAATGAGTTTAAATAAAATAAATTAGTATTATATCAGTGTATTTTTTGGACAGGTTTTTTTTTTCGTAGCAAAAATATAATTGTTCTAATTTTGAGCTTGACGTTTTAACTTTTTGAAAGTATTTTGGGCGAATATATTATTTCATGCTACTCCTACCTATAATATAGGAATGTGTTTCACTAACTATTTATTAAGGTAACCAGAGAACGGAATACAGTGTATTATACGTACTGTGTTTACTGGGTTTTACTTACTGGTACAAAACAACATTTTTAAAATAAATCAATACTATTTATTTATAAAATCAATTAATAAAATAACTTTTATTTCCTTTTACATGGACTTTCTTTGTGGGAATCATTTCTTATTCAAGCTGGTCACATTAATGGACTTCTTAATGGTCTTAGATTGAGACAACCATTTTATATGAGTAAAAATAGGTACGTTTTATAAATAATTTTTATTTATATCGTGATTAATTTTTCATTGTTTGATTATTGAGTTATATTGTTTAATTTCAGCTCCATGCAAACTGAACAAGAAATAACCGCATCATCAGCTATATGTGCCTCAGAAATTGGTAAAACTTAACATTTCTCAATTAGTTATTTAAATGCCTATATGAATCATGATTACTTATTGACATATAATAAATTTTTTTTACATTTAAAATCCACGATAATTATTTTTCTAAACTCTACCATATTTAAAATATACGAATAGGTATGTCAAAAAAATTATTGTGTTGGAAAAACTAATGAATATATGTTAACAGTTAAATTTCTCTTCGGAGACTCATCAAAAACATTCTCAGCAGATATTCCTGTCGATAATGCAATTTGTAATCAACTTTATTGATTTCACTGAATTGATAATAGAATTATCATCATCGTACTTATCGAAATCGTTTTAACTGATACGGTTAATATTGTCCGATAATGTTAACATAAATTAAAGTTTTTATAAACAGCTCATAGAAGTAATTGTTATAAAATGTTTGAAATCGATGGCTATAGCAGCGGTTCCCAACCTTTTTAATAGTGCTGACCACCAATTTCATAGAAAATCTTTGAGAATTTCCAATAGTTATATATGTATAATGTGCACGTACGTCAAATATTGCAATTTATTTGTTAAAAAACAATTGTTTATCAAAAAAATCTTCATTGAACCAGATTATTCAAGAGTTAAACAATTTAATGTGATTTTTGATTGTCCCCCACGAAAGAATCAATATCTAGATTAAAATAGAAAAGTGTTAGCCCTTAATCAATTTCAAAATTCAGTTTATTCCTATATTTATTTTTTAACAAACTTAACGTAGAAAAATCTCGTTCACACGGACACACAGGTTGTATAGCCCATAAAGTTTCTAAGTGTAATTTTAGAGATGGCTGGAAAGTCTTGCCGAATATTTAACTAGAACAGGGTTTGAAATCGAAATAAAAAATTTCGATTTTAATTTCAATTTTGATTATTGATATTAATTTTTTTTTAATTTCAATTTTGATTTCAAATATTGATATTTATTTTTTGCAATTTCGTTTTTGATATCAAATATCGATATTTATTTTTTTCAGTTTCGATCTCAGAAATCAGTATTTATTTTTTTTCGATTTCGGGTTCACAACAGAATATAATCCATAATTTATGATCATTTTTCAAATGTTAGTACATCATCAACATAATAGTTTTGTATGCTGTAGTGATTGCAAACTTACAAAATAAAACTATTTTAGGTTATTTGATTGTATGTTATTGGTTAAAAGCACAGCTATAGATAAGATATTATCTAGATAATATCTAATATCTTATCTATAGATAATATAGATATAATATATAATATAGATAATATCTTGTCTATAGCCGTGGTTAAAAGTATAACTCAAGGGTGACAGCCAATGGTGTATTATAAATTAATATCTTATCCATAATACACCTTAAAATGTCTATATATAGCATATTATACGGAATAAATCGTGTGTATAAAAACAACAATCGCTCGTCGAACGCTGATTCCTTATCGTAAATATTCTAAGAAAACAAAATAGGTACTAGTTATTATTATGTATAATCAATATTATTACCATATATGGCAATTTATACGAATTGACAATATAAATAGACCAGTAGGCTGTTGAACTATAAATTAATTTGATTTAAAATCGTTTTAATTATTAAAATTATTTAAATATAAATTATTTTGATATAAAATATCGATTTTAACTTTTTTCAATTTCAATAAAAATTTCAAAAATCATTACCAACCATTAACGATTTTGATTTTCTAAATGATTTTTAATGATTTTTATCGATATCAAAAATCGATTTCAAGCCCTCAACTAGGATGTTAATAATGGTGTAGTTTAAAAAAACGATTTTAGAGTCTGATCACATGAAAGTTCAATAAACGAATCATCTTCACTTGCTCATATTTAATATTTTAAAAATATATGTAATTTTAATATAATATGGTTCACGGCCCAGTACTACTATGTTCGCGGCCCATGGGTTGGGAACCGCTGGGTTAGAGACATATGTTATAACTGTACCAACATTATTTTTTTATATTCCTAATATTCCAACATATTTTAAATTAAATGCTTATAAATTAATTTAATACATTTAATACATTAAAGTATATGTAACATAGAATATTTTCGGATATTGTAAATAAAAATGAATTTGATAAATAATTCACTCATTGGCCATTAGAAACAAATTATGATGCAACTCTGAATTATTTGTTTTAAATCACCTTATGGAAATGCACATAAATAATGCAATTGATGATAACATTATTACATTTAATTTGAATTATAATTAGCCAACAGTATTTTAGTACGACCTACATGAAATCAACTTGTGTTTCTCTTTAACAGGAACAAGTTCAGTTCAAATTACTGAAATTGCCAGCACTAGTACATCATCAAATAATAATACAAATGGATATCAGTGAGCGTACAACAAAATTTATTTATTTTATTATTCAACGGTTTTATCTAATTTCAGGCAACCGAAAACACAAGATGGCAACGAAAATCTTGAGGAGAAGGATGAAGATTATTATGAATACAAAATTGAAATGCTTGAACTAGAAGTAGCACGGTTAACTAAGAGCGAAAAAAAACTTCGCTCGGAAGTAGAACGCTTATGTAACGTCGAAGAAAGTCTTGAAAAACTCCGAATAGAATTTAGACAATTGGACTTAAGAAATTGGATGTGGCTTAAACCCATACTTGGAGAATTTTTAGGATGCACGTTTTGCACGGAAATTTACATCAAGGTTGTAACAACTTTATTAATTTATTATATAACATTTATATTTACTGTGCATTAAAAACAACTTAAATTATTGTAAATTAATGATATCACACCTGGAAAAATTATTTATGGGTTGTATTTGTGCTATTGCGAAATTTAATGATTTATTATTATTATTAATTATATATAATATAATTAATAATATATAATTATTATAAAATTTATAAATATATTATTATATAAATTAATATATAATTTATATATATAAATACATATACATATAAGAGTCTTATAAAAAAAAAACTTATTACAATGATAAATAAATCATTTTTACAACCTAGCATTTTTTCAAACCCAGAAAAAATATATGTTGACAACTTGGATAATAATAATATGAACCCATTATTAAAATTCAAATAAAATAATTAAAGCTCATCGTAAAAATTGTTTTTAAATTTTTGTTACAGCCATCTGTTCTAAGCTGCAATCATATGTTTTGTTCTTGGTGCATACGAACATGGATGTCACGCAATTCTAAGTGTCCGACTTGCCGACAAGAGATATCATTTGTGACTAATTGTGCGGAATTGAATGAATTCATTTTGAAATCGATTGAATCGGGGGACCCTGATAGAAGAAATGAATACCTAAGAATATCAAGAGAACGTGAGCGCGATGGCGGCTACAGAGGTAATATTTTAACCGTACTGTCAACAACCAAAATTTTCTACGTTATTAAATAACCAGATACCTGGGTATATCCCATATTATTTCCATTGATATATGAGTGTATCATTGAATTTTGGTTTAAATGTATTTAAATGTAAATGTGATTTACCAAATTATATTTGTCACCGAGCGAAAATAATCGATTATGAAGTATAGTTCATACCTTATTAACGTTTACTATGCAATTTATTTTTAATATAGGTACATTATATTAGTATTTGTATTTCAGTAATCAATTACCCGTGTGATTGCAGATACTTTAAACGTCTCCAATACGCCTTAAAAACAATTTTATATCTACATTTCGGTTTTATAATTATGTTTGTTTTTTAGTACTTTTATTTGTTAGCAATGAACGAATTACTATATATTACAGTATTAATTAGTAATTAATTAGTATAATCATAATGTATTATAACTGAACTAAAGGTGGTATTGATAGGATAGATCAAATGTTTAGACTTTATACCATATAACAGACAAATAGATGACCTCTTGAATATTTTTTAATATCATTGACGTGGCTAACCTTGTAGCCTACATAATTAATTATTAAAATAATATAATTATACACAAAGAAACAGCCAACGCCGAATATTCTTGCGTTAAGTGAGGAACTGTGTATGTCACATATTCAAGAACGGTCTTAAATCTGTCTAATTATGATATAATTTTCAACTAAAATGGCAGTTGAAAATATTTATAGATCACTTTTTAAATCGTCTCAAATTTCTGAAACCAATGTACCAACAAAACAGCTAGATTCCACGGGACCAGGGTCTAATTAACCAATAGGCTGGGTAGGCTACAGCTTAGGGCACTAATTGGACAATGTTAATTTTGGGTGCATTAAATTAATTTTTTTATGAACATAAAAGCCGTGATTGAATATATATATATATATATATAATATATACTTCAAAAATAAATTAAATTAAATAGTTTTATGATTTTAACTGTCCAAAAGTATCAGTATTCAGCACATACCATTGTTTTGATAATACAGTGAAAACTGTCTAAAGCGGATCCTGAATAAAACGGAAAACTATCCAATACGGAATTTTTCTATTGTCCCGGCACGTTTCTATAATTTTATGTAGACACTGAGCCTCAATAAAACGGAATCTTTTTAACGCGGAAATGAAACAATTTTGTAAGTCCCATGCAAGTAAAAACCTTGCATAAACCGGAAATATGACGCATGCGTGTGTATTATAAACCAAAAATAAGGTATACAATTTAGATAGGCGTATGTACAATGTACATTGTTTACAATAGTGATAGATAAAGAAGATCAAATTGTTCTATACATATTCTTACATACAATGCATATTATCGCCTAAAACGATACGAACTTTCTTCTTTGTAACTGTGAAATAGTCTTACACCAACAGTACACCTTTAATTTTATCTTCCGTTCATCATATTATATATTAAAATGCCAAAATATAACACGGAAGAAAAAATAGCAGCAACCGTTACAAAACAAAAAACTCTTCATCATTTTTGAAAATTCTAAATGTTTATACGTAATATTTAATTGCTTTAGTATGTAATATGTAATAAAAACCCTATATTTCAGTTTGAATTTAATGAATTTTAAAACCTATATTTTAGTTAAATTTTAATGAATTAGGTATATTATTTAAAACAAAAATTTGAAAAAATATTCTTTGGTATTTATTTGAATTGAATAATCCGGAAATTTTCCGTTATATTGAATAAAGCGGAAAACTGCTTAAAACGGAATTTTTTGTTGGTCCCATGCGATTTCACTTTAGACAGTTTTCACTGTATGATATAATAATTTTATTCTTATACAGAATATGAAGGAAAATACAATAAAAAATAAAATGTTTACGACAACGTTTCATTACAACTAGGTATATAAACATAATAAATAGCCTAGAAAATAGTTCTTTCAATTAAATAGTGAAATCTTTTGCGTCCTCGAAATCAAGAAAGTAAAACTTTTTATAAACGGGTTAAACCAATATTTGGCGTTAGTTATTTGAAAAATATTCGTGTAAATCAAGATAATTTTTTTTTTACATATTTGATGAATCATAATTTTGAAGATGTTTTTTTCTGTTGTATAGTATTCCATTGATTATGAAATACCTTTAACTCTAAATACTAAAAGTCCGATGTCTATATGTTTTTTTATGAACTTCTTCCTGAAATCTTCTCTTTCCGAATACATCGTAGGGGAGCCAAAACCAAACCATGTCTACTAACGACAAACTACTTAATCAGACCCTCCACGGGATATATAAAAGTTGACGACTGTTGTAAAATGTGTTTGAACTGCGAAACTAAAAAACGCAGAAAAACACGAAAATCGTGTATGAATTGTAACAAACAGTATGCAATAAACATTCAAGAACAATTCATAAATGTGGTGAATGTAGATAGTTGTAATTATTATTCTTCATTTATAATTTTTTTTTTTTGTATCAAAATAAGGATTATTTGACAGCATTTTTATAATAAAACTGTAATTAATTTTCAACGAAAAATAAAAATTAATCGATTAACAAAACATTTCCAATTTCTCTTTAAATTCATGAAATTAATTGAAATATCTTTAAATGCGTATAACTTTATTTTGAAACAAATACTACATGGTTCTATATATTTTTGTTTTATTGACTAAATATTCATAATGAACATTAAACATTTGAATGCTATGGGTACCAGGTTGTTGAACATCTGTGTTGTCAAATTCAATAGGAGAAAATTGATACTAAATATCAATAGAATTTTATTTATTAGCAGAATTAAATATTATTACATCTATAAAACGAGGACCCGAAAGGATATGAGCATACATCTTCAGAAAAATTAAAAAATGTTGTATAAAATTTAAATGGGTTGTTGACAGTAGAATTAAATATAAAAATAATATTTTGATTATTTGTAACTATCCATTATTATATAATAATTAGTAATTGAAAACTCGAGTGATGAAGAAGAAGACGATAGCGATGACTACTCATACTACGCATACTAAGATAATCTTGCAAACAACATCCTAATTTACATAGGCGTTATTGGAAATACTAACCGCGCCCATGCAAGTTGTAAGATTATCTACTATTCATTCGTTAGTATATTTTTAGAAGTAGAACTTAGATATAATATATATATACTCTACTCTTCAATATTTATATTTATTGTTATTAATGATCAATTAAAGGTATTAATACAATAATTAACATTAAAATTAATAATGCAATATGCTAAAAAATGTTCTCAATTTTTCAATAAAATGTCGAGTTATTATAACGATCGTGAATATAAATTAAGTATAATTTATAATAAACCTTATATAATTACTCAGATGGTTATAAAAATGTTCAGCAATTGCATTAAATTTAATAATAACATTATTAAATAAATATTCGAACTTGATTTAAAAAATTAATTCATTTTTATGTATTACAATGTATTGTATACATTTTAAAAACAATAAAATTAAAATTATGAAAAAGATTATGTTTGTTGTATTTTGATTGGTTTATCATTAATATAAGGTAAATATGTACATAAGCGTGCGCAGACATTACTGGCAAGGTAGTCATACATAACACATTAACATTAAATATTAACAACAAATTTGGATGAGATAACTTTATTTAACTTAATAATTACATTTTTTCAATATTCTAATTAATACATGTATTTACCGTTTATGGACGTTTCGAGTTAGTCGAACATAATGTGGTTATTTATTATTGTGATGATATTGAATATTTTGGTGAGGGAGGGAAGGTTTACAGAGTAGACAAATGCCTACCCTGACTACCCCGTTCGCACTCTTATGAGTAAACATAAATTCATTGTAAAACCAATAAGTTTTTGATTTTGCTCAACATCAATCATAAACCAATTAAAATGTATCTTCACATTTTCCGTCCATGTCAAATATAAGAAAATTATTTCCCTTATCATAAGGTTTTATATCTACGGACTATGCAAGTCACGAGTCTGAAAGTAAAAAAAAAAATTAATATATATTTATCCTAGGCTTAAATAGATTTAAATGAAATATTAAATAGGTCTTCATAGATATGGTTTTGAAATTGATAGGTTTTTTTCATTCTCAAGACGAAAATACAATCCAATTTCATGTTAACACTTACTCATAGGCGTAAAATGAGGAGGAAGGGGGCAATAACCCTCTAGAATAAATTAGGAGGACAGTGCCTTCTCTGATATTTAATATACCTTGTATTAAAATAAGTAAAAAACAGCTGGTTATAGCTACAACTACACTACTATACAGTTTTTTTTAAATCTTAATTTTTAATTTTAGCTTATCTTAGATAATGTAAGATAATGATTAATGAATAATTTTATATAGTTAATTAAGTAGTAAGGCGATGTCTTTGATTAGAAGTTATAAAATATTAAAAATGTCTATGTTTTTAATGTCTTTAAGTTTTTTTATTATGCTTGATTTATTTCATTACTTAGTAATATTGATCACCATATACTAATATAAAACAAAAAGTAATGTTAATACATATTTACAAGTAAGTAATGTAAAGTTAACTATATTGACTGTAGTCTCCTTTTAATAAATTTCCAAGTTACGCCCATGCGTTCACTTAATACTACAATGAAAAGAAAAAAAAACGAACATTGTTTTTTTGCTATTCGTTTTTGTATATTCGTCGACATATTTGAAAACGATATTACTACTAAAATAAATTAGCAGATTCCACTGTTTTTTTAACGCTCAACTTTGAATATTATTATTTTAATGTAATAACCAGGGCTCGGACTTCGTAGCATTTGCTAATTATTATAGAACACATATAGACATTGCAGAGTAAGCTATAAATTTGTTTTGTGTACATGGAACTTTAAATATTAAATTTTATATTGCTATTTATTGCATATTTTAATTATTTTAGATTTTTTTGAAGTTTTGTTGCTACTTTTTGCTAATGTGCATAATATGATGCTTCATTTTTCATAAATCTCGTTTATATTGAATGAAAATTAGAAAAAAAAATTTCGTTTATTTATATTCTATTAAATCTATTGTAAATATATTAGAAAAAAACCCACTACATCGTTTAATATTAATATACTAAATAATATGATATTAGTGATATTGTAATATATTTCTAAATAGCTCGATTATATCGAATATTATTCATTCATTACTTCTCATTGGTTTCATTTACATTTATTTATTATTATTTAGATTGTAGAATGTACTGTCGATCTGTCATACGGATACGTATTTTAATGTTAGTCAATTCTACGTATCGTTTGGTTACGTTTATAAATTATAATCGTTTATTATTATACTTTTTTCTGTTGTAATTTTTTTATGTTTTTAGGGCATATTATATGATATATTTAAAAAAAAATTTTTGTCATATTATAGCGCATATTTCAGTACTTTTTATTGCTGTAAAATCCGAGCCTTGGTGATAATCATTTCCAATTCGCAAACAAGTACACGAAATACAAAAACATGCATAGGCATGCTCACTGGGGGGGGGGGTATTTAGCTCTCCCTCCTGCTGATTGAATTTTTCTCCCATATATGGACTATATACCTAATTATAGTTTTAAAAAAATATAATATAACTTTCTATAATACACTATGTGTAAACATTGCGTGTGCCGTGTCCCGCGGATGATGCATTTGTGTTGTCCAGCTTCACGCATTGCGCGACTCGCGAGATACCGCAATGATAACGAGTCTACGTGGATTGGTACGCGGCAGTCACGGTGGTTTATAAATAGTAAGTATTAACCTTCCCCTGAAAGAAGAATGGTACTCTGAAGGGCTAAATGATCAATTTTCGTTTAAAAATTATAAACGATGTGTTTTATTTTCTTCTTTTGTACAAGTTAAAATACGGATATCCTGTGAAATTTTAATTATCATTTGTGTTTGAACTGATGATATACCTGTACGGAAACAAAAATACCTTCATCGTTAAAACCAATTAAACTGACTAATAACCAAAATAATATATTTATACGACCTATAATATAATTGAATAATTAATATGAAGCATAACTTATATATATGTTACGGGCAAAGTATACAATTTGGGTATTTTATATATTGTCCGGACAGTATATAAAATGCCCTTCGTATATTAGGCAATATAGATAACAGATGATATGATTTAATGAAATATGATAAATCAATAAATAATGACATGTATTTATATTATTGATTAATTCATCTCAGTAGATATAATTGATTGCACCACTAATCCTTTCTTGAATGTGCTTCCTTTTCTTTTACATGATTCGCAACTATTTAAGTATAGCATAATCATATCTCTGGTGATATTTTTATCTTTTGTATTTACCTCGTGTTCCATCCTGTTTCGTACACCATGTCCAATCGATAAATGAACCTTATGTATAACATCAAATAACTCTTCATTATGTACATAATATTTCATTTCGTTGTTTTCAGATACTGGTACAATTAACTTATTAACATTAGAAACTTTTAACACGCCATATTTTTTTAAAAGTTTATAATCATTTGGTTCCTTTTCCTTTGAATTGTTTTTTAATTGATTTTTATGTAAAATTAATCGATCAAATTTTAACTTGGTAAAAAATGAAGTATTTGAACCTTTTTTTTAACAAATTATTTAAATCTTCATTAAACTTTTCCATATTCGAATAAGTAGTTAAGTACTCACTGAATGAATTAATTTGCACTATACAAACGATTCACGGTTACTAAATAGTTAATTTTTGAGAATAGGTAAAAGGTCGACTGCACGATAATCACTACTACTTCATATAATATAACTTATAAATCAGTAAATATAGTAATATATTATGTCACGTACATGCGTATATGTGGACAAGCGGACATCCCCATTGTAAAAATATGATAAGAACAAAAAAACTAGATACAGATAATAATTTGACTTTATTTTAACTATGTTTTACGATTTATCATATTTCATTAAATCATATCATCCGTTATCTATATTGCCCAAATTGTATACTTTGCCCGTAACATAAATATCGTTACACTAATGACCAGTCTTGTAAAGTATTCGAATACAAGTATTTGAATACATGTATTAAAATACTTTTTGAAGTATTTTTTAAGTATTTTGAATACTTTTTAAAAGTATTTTTAACAATTTGTAAATACTTGTATTTAAATACCACAAAGTTCGTTTTAATAATTGTATAATCATAATAATTCTCTATCGTAATAATTGTTCCTATTTCTAAGAATAATATTCGGTTATTATTGATGAATCTAATAAGTAATAAAATAATAAGATACTACTATAATATTACTAATTTTAAAACTGTTAAATTTCAAACCATTTTAACGCTATCATATAAACGTAGTATATTACTACGATAGATATATTAGATAATGTAAAATTGTAATATAAAATTAAAAAAAAATACTTGTATTTGTATTCAAATACTTAGTGAGTATTCGTGAAATAGATTTTTATAGTAGTATTTTATAAGTATTTTTAATACTATTTTATTCGAATACTAGTATTAGTATTTTAATACTTTTTCAAAAGTATTTTTTACAAGACTGCTAATGACGATACCACGTCTCTGACATTTTACATAAAATGAGTATTTGGTATCAAATTATTTGTTATATCCTTGCCCACAAAATGTATTTCTGTACAATAGCCTAAAATAAATTATTTACCCTCCAAATTGGATACATACATTATTATTATTATTTAGTATATTTATAAATTTCAATCATGTTAAAGCACTGCTCAATAACACATATCTCACAAAAACATATTAAATACCTAGTAACCACACTAAATTTTAAACAGCAACCAAATTTAAAGAACTATTAAAAACAATGTTCAATAATCAACACTTAAATTTAAGCATGATAAAAATATGAGGTGTATAATATTTGTTAATATTTATTCAGTTTTTTCTCTCTCCTGAACAATTGGCGAACTGTAGTTACGTGGTATTTTCATTAGTGTAACGACATATCGACATAACTGACAGTTAAATCTTTCGATCGCATTAACGCTAGTGTTGTTCTGACCATTTAGTAAAGAGATTCAGTAAGTACAAGTATTTAGATTTTTTGGGAAAAGCCATTACAACAATTATAAAAGTACGGGACAAGCGCCTTTTTTAAAGGTATAAGCGAAATTGTTGAAAATGTTATGGACTAAACGCCAAATTCAAGGCGCTTAGCCCCTACGATTGTTGGTTATCAACTTTTATAATAATAATAATAATAATATGACTTATGAGTACTAAACCATTTTTTATATTGATAAAAGTGATTATATGAATAAAGTTGTTTATACGTACTATGTATACATACTTACGTTGCACAATTGTTACAAGTCTACTGAACAATTTATAAGCAACTTCTAACACGAAAAAAAAATAAAAAAAATAGAGCTAAGCGTCAAAAAAAGGTAAGTTTAAGTTGAATTCGTTATGATAAAAAATATACTTAATATTTCAATGTAATTAGCGTCAGACCAGCAAGATAACTTGTAATAGAATGTAAATATATACCTAACCTAATCTAACTTTATACCTAATACTTAAATAAATACCAAAGCGCCAACATCAAAGAAAATATGAAAATTTTGTTTTTGCTCTCCTGAAAAATAGTAAAATTGTCACTTAGCCCCTTTTGCCTTTTACCTGTCGATATATATACGGTCCCTCCTATCAGCAAGATCACCACATCAGTGGCGTAGCTTTAAAATTTTGGCCCGGGATCGAATTTTTCAGCGGACCCCTCCCCCCTCATTCAGGTGTAAATATTAAGAATATCTGTGAGGGTGCATTCACCTTATTAAAATTATTTAAAATTTTTTTTTTAATACAATTACATACATTTTTAAATAGTAAATATACATCTTATTATTTCAGAATCATTTAATTAATAATAAATATTTATTATTAATTTAGGGGAGACTGGCTTAATACGACATACCATTTCTTAAAATGGATGTATAAAAAAAAAGTATTGTTAGTTAACATCTGAAAATGTATCTGCTTATTTGTACAAGTACTATACATACATATTTTTAGTCAAATACTACATTTATTAAATAAAAAAAAAAATTCACTTTTTTTAAAAAAAGATGAACTATGTCATTTTACCCGAGAATATGGGTAAAATGACATACACTGTTTGTATAAGTTATCATAATATATTTTGACTATTTTATGATAAGTATAATTTCAATTTTGTAATATTTTAATACATTTTTTCATTATGATAACTCATCTTAGCTAAATAACAACACTTAACAGCTATTAAAACAAACGTATATTAATAAAAAAACATTATTAAAATTATTAATACATAAAAAAAAATCTTGAATATTAAAAAATAACACAAATACTTTAGTCTTAATCCCTGTTTATAGTTCAGTTATATAATTTCTTGAGTATTTATAACACTCTAATAATGAAGGAACATATTGTAGTTATAATATTTGTATCATATATTAGTTACAACAAATTTAAAATTAAAACAATAAAACAATATTAAAATTATTTGTTAGTAATTGCATATAAAATTTCGGACTTAATTAATAATAACAACTCAGTCTTTTTGACATAATTCACACTCAAAATCTTAAATGTTTAAAAACAATGCATGCTAAAACATTATTCTTAATCAATGTTTAAGCTATTTTAATTTTGACAGTGACGGCGAAGAGTAGCTTGTGGAACATTAAACCGTATAGAAGCCATTCCATTTCTTTATTTTCTATTGTCAATATTACATCACTCATATATTTTTCACGATTGGTCTTGCGTCTATAATTGGATACCATTCTTAACTAAAAACAATATAAATATTATAAAATGTTTGTAACTAGGGCAAAATGACATACCAATATGACATTTTTCCTGATATGGTGCAATTTTTATTTAAGTTTCTTAATGCACAAGTACTAATATAAGTTTATTTTCTATAGAACTATATTATAGCTTACCTTTTTTTGTGTAACTTGAAATATAAAAACTTCAAGTACAACAAAATGTAATATATAAAAAATAAATATTAAATGTGATAAAAAAAATTGTTGATAACACACAAAATATAATTTTGATTACCAATCTGTGATAAGGTACAAGCCAGCTGCTATCATGTCTTATCGTTCACAGGAGGTTATAAGTAATGTTTTTGTACATATCTGTGTGTTTTTGAAAGTATCTTGGTCCTTAAACATCAGTATTTCTTATCAAAACATTAAAGTGTCGTTGCCCTGGTATGTCATATTAAGTCAGTCTCCCCTAATACTTAATGTTATGGATGTGCAACAAAATCAGTAAATAGTTACCGTTGTAATGAATAACAATTAAGACTATAAACTTAAATCATTTTTCTGAACTTCTTATTTGCTGAAGAAAGAAATTATATCTGATGTGTTAATTAATTTGGAAATTTTATTTTCTATTGATAATATAGCTAAACTTGACAAACGAATTTGGGGCATTGTACTTCGAAAGATAGTTTTTAATTATTTTAAATTTTGAAAATCTTTCTGCATTTGCAACCGTCACTGGTATTGTCAATAAAAGACAACAAGATGTAGGTACATAAATCTGGAAAATTTGACGCTATAAAATAATTGACTAGAATTATAAATTTTGCCAAGTCATGTACAGAATTTAATTTTCAAACGATCGTTTTAGTTAATTAAATTTATTATTAAATATATAATATATTTCATAATTGCGTACTAAAAAGGTATTTGTATGTTGAAGTTGTTCATTCATTGAACATATATTAATTGGTATTATTGAAGCAAAAAGTTTTATTACTTGTTCTCGTAGCTTCTTTTAGTACTAAAAACCATAGAAACGCATTCTACATATGATATAGGACATTATTCCATAAATTTTTTTTTTGATAAAATCCGACATAGGCCCTTATTCAGCGGAACCATTCAATTGTTGTATCACACTTTTTTTTTGTTTTTTTTATTGTCTTAGTATTTTACATATATTGGTCCGATTACGATTTTTTATTTATCAGTAGTCTAACTTTTTCAACTCCAAGTCTCTAAAAACTACAAGTTCATATTATAAAATATATCTTCATAAGTTTTTTTTCCGCTGAAATGCATATGGGCGTACAGAATAAATTAAGCATTAACAGTGATCTCCAATAGAAATTAAATATATTGTTTAAATAAAGCAATATAACTCTATAGTTCTATCCAATACTACCATTAAACTAAAAATGTTTATGCTAAACTAAAAAGTTACAAAGAAAATTCATAACACTAAATTTAAATTAATCATTGTAAATAATAATTATAATAATTTCAGACATTTAGTTTACTACATGTTTTGGTTGTACCTATGGCATGTATAATCAAAATATAAATTGTCATAAAAATCATGATAAGATAATTTACTTATGTGACAAAATTGACAAAAATTATAATAATTTTAAAATAATATATAATATATATATAACGGAAACAGTAGTTTTGAATAAGCGATTTATCGGAAACAAACAAGATTCAACAGTTATACTCAGCAAACCTTGACACGGCGACTGTATGTTCCTCCTGTGATGGAGAATATAGAACAACAGACGTTTCAGTGGCCGCGTGGTCTGCATAAAAATTATATAATGTAATGTTGTTCTTAGACTTATAGTTATATAGTAATTATATAATATTATAATAGATATTAAATTATATAAATTAAAATTAAATGTCTCGTGTTAATAAGACAATATGTATAATTATGAAATTATCAAAACATGTTGGCCTTAATAATATAACTATTACATACACACACACGCACACATACATATTAAAAATGAAAAAGTTTTTGTCATTCACATTGAAAATAAAGTTTTAAGTGATTATAAATACCAATACAAATATGAAAATAATCAGGGCAGAGAAACCTCAGGTTATAAAATTGATAAAATATAAATGAATTCAATTTAAATTTTAACTAAAATATTTTAAATATAAGAAATTATATAAAAAATAATAATTAAACAAATTATTAAATTGTTTGTTATTAATAATTTTGAACACCATTAAAATGCTAACAAAGAAATTACAAGTATAAATGGATTTTTAGACTTCTCGCTAAATTGGCCTGACATATTCATGATGATGTGAAGGTGTTATAAGCATGAAAAAATATGCAATGATACATGGACAACCACATTATAAGACTGAAGAGGGATAAATACTATGTCAAGGAGTTTATTTAAATATTAATTTAATACTTGAAATAAATTTTCTAGTTAGTACCTGATTTTATTAAAAATTGAAATATTATTTAATTAACTTAAAAAAAAAAAAAAATCATAAAAAAACATTTATATGATTAACTAATAAATAACTTATTATATCATGCAAACTATTTTTCTGAAACATTTTTGACAAAATAAATAAATTTTATTTCAACAAATTGAAGAACTACATATCAATGTAATTGTCTTAAGAAGTGTGTAGAATATCTATATAAAAAATGAAATAAAATAAACTTTCTTAAAAAAATATTTTACTAGTTGACGTTGAAAAACAATAGTCATGAATATAATTTTATATATATAAATAAAAAAAATATTAAGCCTGATGACTACTCTGCCCTTTTAATAATGATACCATTAACTGCAATAATAATTGATTAAATCTATAAATCCGTAAAATATAAAATGCTTATGTTAAAATAAAAGGAATAATATTCAGGAATCTTCAGGAGCCTATGATGAATCTTCAGATTCATGAGATTCATGAGCACCACGGAGTTCATCATGAGAACCATTAGATTTATGAGAACCACGAGATTCATGAGAAACGCGAGATTCATGAGAACCATGAGAATCCTGAGAATCCTGAGAATCCCCAGAGGCATCAGAATCCTCAGTTTCCTCAGAATCATCAGAATCCTCAGAACCCTCAGAATCCTGAGATTCTTGAGAATCATGGGATTCTTGGGACTCCTGAGATTCACGAGAATCTTCTGCAGCTGATTCAGAATCGGACTGTAACTCTACAAGTATATCTTGAATACTTGGATGCATAAAGTAATCATCTGGTAAAGTCAGAATTTCATTTGTTCCACCAGCTGCATCAGGAAATGGCAAATTAATTCTTCTATCTCTTCTTTGGACAGAAGTAGCATCAGGATTTTCAGGTGTTCCAGAAACAACCACAGTTATAGCCAAGAATCTACCGCAAATAACCAATCTGTCAGCCCAAACCTATAAAATATATTTATTAATGATAACAACATTATTAGAAAATAACTTAAAACCATATTTAATACTAACATTATTGTTGCATAGAAGTTTTGTATTAGTATTTTCAGAGTACTCCAAAATACCCAAGTTCTCAAATCTGCTTTGGCGATAAACATTATTGCAAAAAAATTGAACAGAAAATTCATTTGGCTCTGTAGCTCTAAAAATAAAAAAAATTCATTACTGTAACAATAAATCAGGTTAAATTAACTGTAATTTAATAAATTTTAATCCGTACTTTTACAACTAATCTAGCAGTAGAACAAACAATAAAATTGAAGTACACATTTTATTATAATTTATATTAGTGTTAAGTTATTACCCAAGTATAATTCCTCCATTTGAATTGGTCAGGTAATTTGATGGCGAAAGAATTTTGATTTCACTGATATTCACTGGCGTTTTGAAACGTATCACACTATGTGAGATAAGCTGAAATATATTTATTACCATTAATAAAATATATGATATAAATTGTGTTTTAAAAAAGAGATCATAAGTTTATCCTTACATTTGGATTAAGTATAATTTTAATTGAACGATAATCAGGCTAAACTAATAACAATATAATATAATAATTTAAATTGATAATATAACAGAAATATTCTTATGTGCAGTGTTAATGTACGGTTTTCCACGCTCGACAACAGGTCGTTTTAATTTGTTTATACGAAAATGGTTAGGTTTGCAAGATGCGAAAGATCGCGACGACCCAATGCTAATTTTATTGATACAATGTCGTCAACTTCGATTGTTTTCGACGGCGAATAACGGAAATCTAATACGCGAGAGGTCCCGAACAACTCTATTGTCTATAATGTTGGAGATGCAAATTACAAAAATATTTTACCAAAGTAAAATATTCGGAAACTTGTCTGTTAGAGCAGCAAAATCATTTGTAGTGGAAGTAACCAAAAAAAATGATGGAAAAACAGACGAGACTCTTTAGGTTAGCAAATGAACTAAAAACTGTATGTTAACCTAAAAAACAGTTGTGCCGTTGAGACATGGCGGATCGTGTAAACCACGCTATACGAACCAGTCAACTTTTAAGTCGGCAACGATGCGGTTGCGGACGCGAAGTAAAAACGGAACGAGACGAACGGGAGATGAGTGCCAGAAAAGGGAAAACGCGAAAACCGATGAGAACGGTCACAGCAAGTGAACGAGAACGCGGTCGGGTCGGCGAACAAAAATGGCGTCCCGACGGTGACGACGCCATTGTTGCCGTTCGCGGACGACCGGCCGTACATGGACGACGGGCCGTTCGCGGCGGACGGTCGCGATGCTTACCCTGGACCCGTAGAACGAGCGAAGGAACGTCTCGGCGGCTAACACGCGCTTCTCCGCATCGATTGGCTTGCACATCTTGTTGAGCTGGACGACGACGGCACGGGTGACGAGAAGAAAGAGGGACGACTGGACGCGGCTGGTGAGATACGGACGGGTAGAGCGTGCGAGACGCGATCAGGAGAGACACTGTCGGCCGTGTACGTGCACGGCGGTGCGAACGACGATCGGTACCGTGAGGGACGCGGCGGCGCGTGCGTGACGGCGACGGCTGGACGTTGAACACGTCGTCCGGAAACTATGGAGACAAGGGAGCTGCGGTGTGTGTGTGTGCACGGCGATGGCGACCCGCGGCCGGGTAAAGTGATGGCACAAAACGCGTACGGACGCGGAGAACGGTGGCAGCGAACGAACTGTGGTGCCCGGGACACAGCCGTCGTTATTATCGACCGTCGTGCGGGCGCCGGTGCGTGCGCGCGCGCCCGCTCGCTCGGTCGTGTGAGGGAGAGGCGGAGGAACGGCGGCAGTTGGCAGTAGTTGACGAAGTTTTTCCGAGACAGTGCGGGCACGCGTGCTCGGCTTTCGTTACACGAAATTCTATACAACTACTAGAGTCTGTGTTTCGATGGCCGCTGCTGGCCCGTTGGTCCGCGCATGCCCTTATCACATCGTGGTCTTATCACCGTTATCAGTGTTCCGAGCGTCGTCCGAAACCGTTCGCGTCCCGGCGCCGTGCTATCGATCCGATAACGTCCCCGTAGCGTTTGCATTCCGTTTGCACAGTGCTGTAGCTGCATTGATTCCCCCGTTCTCGGACGCTCGTGACGTTCTTCTCCGCATCCCCCCTCTTCGTCGACAGCCGCCGATTCTGACCACCAGCCGTCTCGTTGGTTTTTACGATTTTCTCGCGTCGACAACGATCCGTCGCACCTGCTCCAGCATGAGGCGTTTTGCCGGCACCGCTCTCGTTCTGTTCGCGATCTCCGACGCACTGTTAGCCGCCGTCCTGTCGGACATCAATCGAGAAGTCGAGGAGCACCTGATCATATCTAGGTTCAGAGGCGTCACTCCACACGACCACCGGACCGACCCTGGTTACGCCGGCATATTGAGTGAGTGACATTTGCTGAAACTAGTGTGTATGCTTTCTCCCCTAAATATCCGAGTCATTTCAATTTTTTCCGTTACTTTTTGCTTATTTACACTCTCGATGATGAATTCAGTAGAAATCAAACGATCTGGAATACTGACCACCGTAATGTATTTCACAATTAGAGTATCGACCCGTCAGAATGGTATAATTATTATTTAAAAATTATCTTGTATATAATGTCATTAATATGCATACATGTACATTGTACAAACTGTATACGTATTTATTTTGATGCTGTGGAAAATTGATATTTTAACAAATGCAAATAATTTTCTACATATTTTTCAGGTGATAGCAATGACATTGACTCTATCAAGCATTCAGAACCTTCTAAAATAAAGGCTCGCATATTTAATATTCTTGAAAAAATGGATCATAATAAAGATGGATATATTGATAAAAAAGAACTAACTGATAAACTAATGGAAAGTTATAGGTAATATATACTAGAATAAATAAAATTTAAATTTTTTTGCTATCATAAAGTTGTGTTTAAAATCTTTACAACAATTGCTTCTTTAATAGTAAATAACATATTATTTTACTTATACATAAATACTAATTATATTTTAAGTTGATCCATAAAAATATTTATATTATAAAACATATAGGATTTTGTACAATTAAAATAAATATTTGCTTCTTTGAACTGAATTGAATATTAAGTCCAAATAATAAATGTTTAAATACTTTACTTACACAATATCTATTCTAACTTTAAGTAAATTTTTAATACATATTTTTAGCACATATTTTTAATGTTATAATTACAAATAAAATGTATGATTTTAATTGATGGGTTTCAAAATGAAACAAATATTTTATGTTCGTAGTTCAATAATAGTTAACAATACTGAATATACTATATAGTACATATGGTACATAATTGTAGTAAATTACTTTGTTAAATTACACTTGTTGCAAATAATTTGTGTATCAGTTAATATAAACAATTATATAAACAATTATATATAACAAATAATATATAACAAATATATATAAACAATTTAATAGAAAACTAATAACTTAATACATTAACACCATTTATGACAAAAGGCCTTGTAATACTTTATAATTTGTATACATAATAATTGTGTTTTTTGCGAAAGAATCTATAAATGAAATATTTGAAAATTTATAATTAATTTATAATTATAAAATAATGTTTGTTTCATATATTACTAAGAAATAATTATGTAAAATTAATTTTCGTTCATTCTTAAAATTGTAATACCCATAGGGTTGATTAATTTTCATTTTAATTCTGCTGATAAATATTTCATTGTTTATTCAAATATAATTAAAGAATAATTAAATAAGTTTATCAATTGATTATTTGTAGATTAAATCATTTATGTAAATATAAATATAAATTATGCGCCTCTTAATAATAAATAAATAAATAAATATGAATTCTTAATAAATACAAATAAAAATTAGTATAAATTATAATCCAAACATTTTATTTTTTAATTTTCAAACATAAATATTATGTATTAAAATATAATATTGTTGTATTAGAAAATTATCAGCTAGTGAATCCGATTCCGAATTTGAAACTAGTGATCTTGATGAAAATGGCTTCATTACATGGGACGAATATTTGGGCGATGCTTATATGGAGCTTGAAGTAATTATTTTAAACTTTATGTACAATAATTTAGATATGCACTTTAAAAATTTTTACATTAAAAAAAAAAAAAAAATACTTGAACTAAGTTTTTTCAACTTGATTAGTAAAATATTATATGTTTTAATAAATATAATTTGTAATTATTAACAACAATTATTTAAATGCAGTTTAGGGACGATAGAACATTATTTTATGCTGCTGATATTGACAACGATGGAAAGTTAAATCAATTAGAATTTCGATATTATTATACACCTGAAGATTACCCTCAAATGAAACCAGCAGTAATGGTTGGTGTGATGAGACAATATGATTCCAATAAAGATGGAAAAATTACATTTGATGAGTTTCTTGACTATAGGAGTAAGATATATTTTAATATAAATACATATTTTATGACATAGTCCTTAACATTAAAATTATTAAATATTTTCAATTAGAAAAAGGTCTTACTGAAGAAGAGATGGAACAAGAAAATTATAAATTTACACTTGAACTTGATACAGATAAAAATGGAGTATTAGATGAAGAAGAAGTATATCAATGGTTTTTACCAATGAATAAGTACATGTTTGTTCACATTTATTTTTTATAATAATTATACAATATAAATATAATATAATATAATACAATATAAATATAAATATATTTATATATATACAATATAATTATACAATTATATAATAATTATTTTTATAATACTTGCTGTTTTTACACTATTGTATGGTAAAAGTTGATAAAAATTTACTATTCATTTTGTTTCAATAATTTTATCGTAATATAAAACAATAAATTATAGAAATATGAAATAAATAAAATTTAATTTATACCTAAGTAGAACAAAAACAATGATTTAGAAATTAACTATACTTAAAAGATAAAATTTCAAATTATTAACAATCTTAATTTAATTTATTTAATTTAATTGAATGATATAGCCATATTAAGACCGTTTTTTTTTTTTTTTTTTTTTTTTGCAGCATGTCAGCAGAAAGTGAAGCAGAAAATTTATTATTTAAGGCTGATAAAAATAGAGATGGTACGCTGAGTTTCAATGAAATATTGGAGGGTTATAAATATTTTATTTCTCCAGACAGCGAAGGACACTACATATTTAAAGATGAATTATAAAATGTTAGTAGTTGCTGGTTAGTTTAACAAAACGAAAATAGTTAAATTAGTTACTAATGTTACTAATTTATGAAATAGTATTATTTATTAGTTATAATGTATTATTAAATTATTGTATTTGTCAATTGTCTGTAAAAATTACTTTTAAAATATTTTTTAAATAAATTAACTATACTTATTAACAAACATTATAATCATAATATATTTAACTTTTCTTACTATTAATCTATACATATAAATATATATGATACACATTCAAAATAATATTATTTCAAATATAACTTATATTGGGATAATTGTGTGTTATATATATTTATTAATTTCATGTAGAAAAATCAAAATAATATATTTTATAAACTATGGATACATAATTATAATTTCTATCATACAAATTACTACTTTATATTTTTAATATATAATGTGCCCTTTAACTATATTTATTTAATAACAAAATTATTAATTATCAATTATCTTTTTTTTTAACTGTCTATTATAATTATGCAATATTTATCATTGATTATAAACACTGATTTTCTCAAAATAAAATAATTGCAACCATGTGTAAATTTAAATTTATTGAAATAAGACTTCATATATATAAATTGATTGTATGTATTTATAACACTTACACAACTTGCAATTAAATTTAAAGTTACTAATTTAAATATTTTTTAATTAAAATTTTGTTTGATAAATTTCTGATATAATTATCCTAATTCGTAACTTTGACTAAATTAATACATTTGTATTCTATTAAATAATCCACTATATAGGTCAATTTAACCCAACTAATAATATTGTTCCTATTATGATTGATAAATATTATTGTTTAATGACTGATCATATTTATAAATTATTAAGTTATTCTCATTATTTCTTCATTTACACTATTCATAAATTAAATGTATAGGATTAAAATATGGTTAAAAAATAATCAACAAATAAATTTGTTTAAAAAACTAAATTTTTAATGTTCCTTTTTGTATTGTTGAAATTACATACGTTTCATAATAATATTCTTAATAGAAATAATGTAATAATGAAAGACTATATAAATATTAAATCTGTTCTTAGTTATTTTATAAAAATATTGTAAGTAAAATAACAATTATTTTTCTTTTTCAAATTGTATAATTTTAATACACCTAATAGAAATAACTAAATATATCATCAGCAACCAATTATATTTTCTAAGTATTTTATAAAAATTATTATGTTATTATCTAATATTTACTACAAAATATTGTGCTGTAATTTGTTTAGTTGTTTCTATCATAATTATATTTTCATATAGTTACATTTTTTTTTTTTTTGTAAATTATATCAACACTTGCAACAAATCAATATTATTTGTCTCCATTTTTAATTTTTTACCATGATAAAAATGAGTGTGGTTTTTTTTATATACAATTTTTGAAACCCATAATCAAAAAACCATAAACTATTTTCTTAAAAAAAAAATTATTTCAAATTCTTGTATATATCAATAATATGTGAATTCTTAATTTTTAATGTTTGATAATGAAAATTAATTTAAATTCTAATTGCCATGAAAAAAATTACTTAGTCTGTATACAAATATAAAATTAACCATTATTGTAGTTACCTATTTAAATATTTGTAAAAGACAAGCTTGTTTGAAATGTATTTTTTTTTTTTTTTTATGGATGACGATAAACAATTACATTGTATAATCAAAAATATTTTAATCTTAGTATAAATATGAATCTCCACTATATAAATATCATTAAATTCTTTTAGTTTAGAAATGTATGTATGCTATATTTCCTCCTACATAAATGTGTTAATAGTTATATTAATACTGATATTATATATATATATATATATATTCATAAATGCCATAGCTTTATACGTTTATATATATATATTCGTTGAAGTTATTAATATTAATTTATAGTTCTTGTAATTTACTAAAACGATGTATTGAAATACAAATTTGTGAATTTAAAGTAACTGTTATATTTATTATTGAGTTGTACTATTTTTCATTATTATTTTATACAGACATTTAGACATGTGGAAACAATTTGTTTGTTAACTATATTCTGAAGACTTATACATATTTGACTTTTAGGTATATTATTTTTTTTTTCTTTGATATTGGTACTTAAAAATGGAACATTTATGTAAATTTGTGTTACAGTTTTTCTTATGATTATATAAGAAAACCTTCCAGCTAATTCTAGAATTCCAGCACCAAATTTGGAAGGAATAATGAGTGAGAAAACAGTTGGAAAACGGGGATTTAGAAATAAGATTATATCTGGAAAAGATGGTAGGATGGAGAAGAGAATGTTATCGAGTTCCTGTATTAATTTGTTACAATATACATATGTTGAAATGAGGGATAAATTTAAAAACATTAATGTAGTGTTAACTGTATCAACTTCTATATAAGATAGTGTTAACAAGAGTTATATTGAATAAAAACTTATAATAATTATCTCGAATTCTCAAAGGTAAATAATGAATAATTTGTATTTGAAGTATTATAATATGTACTTATTTCTATATAATACATACACGCGGGGGCGCCCGCAGAAAATCAACTCAGTGAGTGCAAAATGAAATTTATGTTATATATTTACACAGTCGCATATTTACATTATTATATACACAATCCACATAATGAACATAACTCCAAATTTATTGCAAAAAAATATATAATAGTATAAATTATAATACAATGTATATGTATTATAAATTATTAATAATATTGTATGAATTATGAATCAAATAGTAATGATAAACGTCTGACATTTAGACCAAAATGATTCATAACATCGGTTTTTTGTTTTTCAAAAAATATGTATCGTCAAATCTATTTTTGTGAATGTGAAATAGAGCCAGTTTGCTTAACTTCATATTAGACATTATAGATCTTACCCATGTTTTGATATGATGCAAAGCACTAAAATAGATAATAATTATAGTTAAAATTAAATAATTAATACAAAATATGATTTATAATATGTTAGGTACCTAAAGGTTCTTTCAACTGAACTGGAAGTTGCTGGTAATGTAATTGCTATTTGTAAAGCAGTATTTACAGCAGGATAATATTTAGATTCTTCTAATAAATCAATTATTTGTGTATTTGGATCACATGGTTTTCTTAGCTATATTTCATACCAAGTTATTGCTTCTTCTTCAAAATTATCAAGAATAGATCTTCAAAATATTAATTTTTATTATTATTTTTTTTTTGTGTAAATTAAATAACGAAAATTATTTTAAATTTTCATCAGATAATCTATCACTGATTGAAATTATTATGGGATTTAAGTAGGGAGTAAATAAAGATTGTCTAAAAAAAGTCATTAATATTATTACTTGGATAATTATCTTGTTGTGTTTGTTTGATAGCTCTTCGTGGTATTTGTAACTCTAGATCAATTTTAATTGCAATTTCTTCTGCTTTTTTGAATATTAAATTAAATTGATACTCACTGTTACATCTATCAATTTTTACAAATTGTAAAAGCTCTCGAATGCGTTTTGTGGCTTCTTGTAAATTAATATTTACATCTTGAAGAATAGTAGATATAAATTCAAATTTGGCAGAATACTTTGTTATAATTGATAATAAAATAACAGAATTTGGAGTAGTAATTGCATTTAGAATTTCAAGGCTTCGTTTTACTGTTCAAATATTTTGATGTTGACATTTCTTCTAAACCTTCTACAATAACAATAAACTTTTCATTAAATTGTCTTACACTCTTATGCTTCTCTATAAATCTAGTTTCACACAGTTTGGTTAACTTACAATTACTACTATTAATTACATTCATGCAAACTACACTTTCTTTGAAAAATATTATTGTGTCCTTTACTTTAGTAATACAATTTCAAACTTCGGGCATGACATTTAAATCATTGATAATTAAATTAAGGCGATAACTAGCGCAATGAAAAAAATGGGCTCTAGGATAAATATTCTTAATTCTCTTTTGTACTCCATTTATACATCCAACCATAGTGGCACACCCATCATAGCCTTGACCTACGCATTCGTTTAAATCTAATTTCATGTGACTACATGCTACTAATATTGTTTTAGAAATTAACTCGGCATCAAATTCTTTTAAACCCAATAAATTCTTCATACAAATTTTTATCTTTTAAAAATTGTATACAAATGTATAGCTGTTCAATACCACTTATACCTACTGTTTCATCAGCAATAATAGAAAAACAAGAAGCTTCATTAATTTCTTGTGTTATAATAGATTTTAATGTTGACATCAATTCTAACATCTCATTTTAAGTACGGTGAGAAGTATAAGTTACATTTTTAGGGGCATTTTCCAAATGATCTTTTAAAATATTATGCCAGGCATCAATTCTGAATTGTAATAACTTATTAAAAACAACTGAATCATCCGTCTTTCCCCTAATTGGTAAATTATGTAATGCACAAAAATATAATGATTATAATATAGGTATTAATTGATTGCTATTTGCATCAATTTTATTTTTGTAGTTTGTATTTATCATCTGATGTACACTAGAATTTTTACTCATCAAAGTTATAAAATCATTGAAACGTATAGAAGATTCAATATGCCATTGAGTTTTTGAATAGTTGTTTGCTTTTTTTAAAAACTTTTGATAACGTTGGAAAGGCTTATTTATAAACTGTCCTTGAAAACCTCCATGAGCTACATGCGTCTGAAATAAAACACAGTATAGACAAAAAGTGCCCTTAAATATTTTTGAATAAGCCAGCCAAGGATAAATTGAAAACCACTTAAATACAAATTTTTATAAGTATTTATAAAATTTATAAACATTTACTGTATAGCAGGCTTTATTGTAAGGTGTAGTAGGACACTAATCGTGCATTAGAAAATATAAAATGTGCTATTAACTTGAAAAATATGTCCAATTTAGAAATACAATATAATTTACTTTGTCGAAGGGATTTAAAATAATCTATACCTATATTATTTTATTACGTGAAATCATTAGTTAGTCGCGCGCAATTTGTCAATTTTTCGTATAAAGGTTTTTTTTTATAAAAAGTTGATAAGAGTTAGTATTCA